TAGATGTCTATATGCCTCAGTAACCATTTAACACCAAACAGGCTGTGAGCTCGTCCACGCAGCAATTCAATAAAAAAAAAATTGTCTTGTATTAAAAAAAACACTAATGCTGATGGGGAACCACGTTAGGACCCTAGTTCCTTGTTTTTAAAAGCGTGTCCTTAGTCATAAAGTTTTGTTTATTACTACTGTGATGTGTAACAGTGAATTATAGATTACTAGCGACCCGCCCTCGCTTCGCTTCGGAAACATTAAAACACACATGAAACTAAAAAAAAAATAAAAAAAAAAAGTTAAAAAAAGTAGCCTATGTTCATCAAAGACAATGTCGGCTTCTAATGGAAAAATAATTTTTCAAATCGGTCCAGTAGTTTCGGAGCCTATTCGAAACAAACAAACAAACAAATCTTTCCTCTTTATAATATTAGTATAGATTTAAAAATTCCAAATTTAATATTGAGGTTGTAGTACGGGCCACGCACCAGGCTCATTGCCAGATTATGGCTCACTTGTATGTAATACAAAGATACAGAGAAGGAAGGAGAAAATCACACGGAGGGGGAATCCTACCGCCGGCCGCATTAGGAAACTGCGTTCTAAAATAACTGATTTAACGAACCATTGTATTTGAAAAAAATACATTTTACGAATCGAACTATGTGTGAGGCGCTTATCATTCATTTGATTACCTTTTCCTCCGAAAAAAAAAAATTAAACACACAAAACAAATGCTCTACAAACTTTAAAAACGAAGCAAATCACTGAATTTCCCCGAAAACTCAGTCATTATTAATTCATTTGAAAAGCACAAAAATTGAAAGAAAATTGGTCCGTAATTACAGAATAAGTTCGCATCGAGTCCTTGGGTCGTGAGTCAGTCGCGTGTTCACTGGCCACTCGCTCATTGATGGTCAGATCCGAAGGTCGAGTAGCACGTTTTTCTTGTAACGTGACTCTTAGAGTCATTATTGTATAAACAACAAATATGTCATTAATAAACAATCACTATACACTAAAAAAACAGTTTAAATATTTCATGAAAAAACAGTAAAGCATTTTTTTTGTTGCCCTTGTATGTAGACGAGCTTACGGCCCACCTGATGGTGAGTGTCGCCCATGGACTTCAGCAATGCCAGGAGCAGAGCCAAGCCGCTGCCTACCGCTAAAATGAGCAAATACTTTAGTGTTATATTCGTCGTATAGTCGTTTAGAATTTAGACAAACTAACCTCGGGTGGTAAAGTTGGTGAGAGACTTTTGTTCTTAGAAAACTCGCTCGTCCTTCTGCTGGAGGAGTGCTCGGACTGTCGACGGCACACGCCGCGGAGCCACGAGCCGAAGCGGTTGTTGCAGCAGCTGATGATAGATGTAATCTTTATTGTCATTGATATACTGGCGTGACCAGGTAGTGCAAAGGGAGGCCGGCAGCAAATGAATAGTGGTAGGACCTCTTGTGAGTCCGCACGGGTAGGCACCACCACCCCGCCTACTTCTGCCGTGAGGCAGTAATGCTTTACGGCTGGAAGGGTGCGGCAGCCGTTGTAACTATACCTTAGAACTCATATCTCAAGGTGGGTGGCGGCATTTACGTTGTAGATGTCTATGGGCTCCAGTTACCCTTAACACCAGGTGTGAGCTCGTTCACCCATTGAAGCAATTAAAAAAACAAATGAATGAAGAGAGCTGGGAACTAGGGGCTAGTGGCGTAAATTGGGAGAAACCTATGCCCAGCAGTGAACGACTGTACTGATTATAAACGAGCTCATCTCCTACCTGATGTTAATTCACCGAAGCAGGGGCTCTCGGCAGAAACAGGTGGGCTCATAGACTCATAGACTAGTCATAAAAATGTCTTATAATTGTAGTAATTTACCTTAAGTCCAATAAGTGGTTAATGATCCTCATGGTCTCGCCCGCCCCGATTTGAGATGATCACTACCTCCGGAAATTTACCATAAATTCAGAGATTTCTTTTTTATTGCCCTTGTACGCAGACGAGCATACAGCCCACCTGATGGTGAGTGGTTACCGTCGCCCTTGGACTTCAGCAATGCCAGGAGCAAAGCCAAGCCGCTGCCTATCGCTTAATACTCTCCACAGGCTTCGTTTGAAGAAAAACATGTCATAGCGCTCGGGAAGCACCGTGGAGAGGAGCTCATTCCATAGCCGGATGGTACGTGGCAAAAAATACCTCTGGAAACGCACTGTCGCGATACAAATGTAGTTTGGTATCCTGTCTTAATGATAAACTGCAGGAGTTCAGATCCCACCTGCGAGGAGTGTGCGTCCTAAAAAAACTTTGATGGACTATGTGAAATAGGATATGCCTGAAAAAGGTGCGAATGCAGGGATGACGTATGATAAGATTGAATGGATAAAGATTACCAGCGCCGACCTCATATAGTGGGATGGGGGCAAGAAGAAGACGAGCTCTCCAGATTTTCAGCAGATACGAGTAGGCTCCACAACTGACGTCACAACATGATTTTAAGCAGATACTGGTGCCTACTGACGTCAGAACATAAATGCCGCCCCCGCTTGAAATTTAAGTTCTCATTAGACAACGACCATCTAACCCTGCAAGACTTGAACCCTGCTAACAGGCTAGCCGGTGTTAATGGCTTCTCACCTCGTATGTGTCCTATCACTCAATATACTATCTCTTCTGTCCACTTGGCTTTTTCTTCTCCCACAGCATCCAGTGTCGTCAGCAACGGCGGGACTCAAGGCAGCGTTGGCCGGCGACATGGCAACGTTTGCCGTTGACATGGCAATGTTTCTCGGTGACATGTCGCTGACACGCTGATTGCGACCGCAACAGATTATGTCGCGGAATTTCTTTTTGCGTTTCACTTCGTCCTCGAATTCGACTGAGGCCTAAAGGTGGAGAATATTTTGTTTTATTAATAACTTACTTTTTTCCGCGACTCCGTCCGCCTAGAATAGTTACTTTGGCATAACGCTAAATTTTACCCCCCACTTCATTTACGTAGAAAGAGAAAATATTTTTTAATTATAGAATGTTAAGGAGCTATTTATGCCCCTATTTTGAAACATTCTTTATTGGTGCTCCACTTGTATTGGTCTTACCGTGATGTTGTGTAGCCTAGCCTAGATAATCGGACCAGCAGTTCCTGAGAATAGCGCGTTCAAACAAACAAACAAACAAACTCTTCAGCTTTCAAATCAAATCAAATCAAATCAAAAAAAATTTATTCAACATAAATGAAAGTACATCCTTGTTGAACGTCAAAAGAACTACCGCTTTATAATATTAATATAGATAAATCAACAAAAACTATGTTATTTTGTGAATACCCTTCACGGCCAACTTCCTTTATCCTCTCTAGAGGTGTGAAGAGTTAGAGATACACTTGACATTGGCGAAATCTAAAAGGAAACGCCATAAATCTAAGAGATAGATAGAGATCCGTAACCGAATATAAATGAGATTGAGACTCAGAATGAGTGGCAGTATTGACATTTAGACTACGGTAGCCAGTTCATACCAGGCGGTCCGTGAACCTGTTTGCCTATTTACGGCAATAAAATAACCAATTGGAACGTACTCATCACAGTCGGTTACTCTTAGCAGAATAGTCATGGTCATGTGAAATCCTTGTTTATTAAAGCCTTGACAACTGTTTTCCACAGTTCACGAATTGAGACTTGGTGCACATTTTATTTAAAGTCACGAAAAAGTAATAAATAAATACCTTTCCTGTTGCCGTTTCAACGTCTCTTATCATCTCTTCTTTTTCTTTTTTCTTGCAACAGTTAAGTTTTTCCATCAACCCCATTTTCTTTCCGTGCAAAGTTTCGGATGTTTCCTTCTGCCGGTCCTCTTTCATTACGCTCTCATTGTCTTTCGACGCCTCTAAATTTTCTCGCGCTAGACTTTCTTCTTGCATTTTATCGTCATTTTCTTTTGGTCCTTTGACGCAGCACGGGCAACATTTAGATTTGCATTTCCCCATGATTCTCTCGCATAAGTTCGGCGGTTTTGGATGGTCGTCATTTGGTATTGCGGGTTCTAGATTCGTTTCTTGTTTTTTCGATTCTCTTCGAGTCCTGGCCGGTGGTATGGGCGTTGTGCTAACGCTTTGAGGAAATCTAGAAATAGAACGGTCAGGGAATTAGGAAATTAAACTCAATCAATAGATATTTATATAAGTTGGGTGCTCTTGACAAAAAATACGTTTATTGTTAAGGCGAACTATTCTAATGATAACAGTTACTGGGACTTTCTCGCGAGTCCGCGCGGGTAGGTACCAACACCCTGCCTATTTCTGCCGTGAATCAGTAATGTGTTTCGGTTTGAAGGGCGGGGCATCCGTTGTAACTATACTTGAGACCTTAGAACTTATATCTCAAGGTGGGTGGCGCTTACGTCGTAGATGTCTATGGGCTCCAGAAACCACTTAACAACAGGTGGGCTGAGAGCTCGTCCACCCATCTAAGCAATAAAAATAAAAAGAGAATTGTTCTATTATAATTGACTTTTTCAAATGATATTCATAATAGGGCACTTCGTTTAAATACGAATTCACATTTTGTTATTAAAATACTTAACAAATTTTATTTAACATCATGCATCAAATTTTATTTAACACCGAGTATTGAAAAAGTACATAAGTTATTCTTTATATTTTAGCACAAACGTTAAACTGATAAATTAAGGATTTCAGATTCTTTTCACTAACCCTTCAAATATCACACAAAATTACAGTCGCAGTGTTTCAGACGGAAAAATCTTATATTTTTTTAAATTGCAAGCTACATTGTAATCCTACTCAACTGACACAAATTACAACAAAAGACACATACGTGCAAAGCTCCAAGTGTATACACATGCTTTAAATTTACCAACAAAAAACTTAATTCGACAATTATAATTAATCACACACACACACACAAACAGGTCGCGTGTTTGGTTCATTTATATATTTATAAATTTTATTAAAACACACAGTCATGCGATCACGAAGAACACACTGTTACCTGAGCAACGTGGACTTGCCAGGGTACCTAGAAAGTATTTTAGAAGTCATCATCATCGTATAAGCCAAAAGACGCACATCGGTTACAGTACCAGGCAATAAATATTGCACATCGATATTTAGAATTTAGAAAGAATTTAGAAAGAGACAGTCGTCTAATTTTGTCTTTGTTTTTTTTAATTTTTTTTATTGCTTAGATGGTTGGACGAGCTCACAGCCCACCTGGTGTTAAGTGCTTACTGGAGCCGATAGATCTACAACGTAAACGCGCCACCCACGTTGAGATATAAGTTCTAAGGACGTCTTATCCTTTAGGCCACGACTTTTTTATAGAGCGTTACCTGTGTGCGACGAAACACTAACGATCCGCTATCTTTAAGGAGACTAAATCTCAATTAGTTAATGTGCGACAGATATAACGCTCTACGAAGCAAAAATTAACTGTCTCTTGCCTACGGTCGATGTGCAATATTTATCGCCGGGTACTGTACTCTGGGGATTGGTTTGAGAGCGTTTTGCCAATTGCAATAACTATTCTACCGCCTTAACGTGTTTTATTACCTAGGAGGACCATTGCTCTAGAGTGATTTTTTTCCATGAATCATTTGGCTGTATGCACTCTGCTTTACTTTCATAAGATATGGGTATGGGTGAACGATCTCACAGCTCACCTGATGTTAAGTGGTTACTGGAGCCCTAAGACATCTACAACGTAAATGCGCCACCCACTTGAGATATAAGTTCTAAGGTCTCAAGTATAGTTCTAACGGCTGCCCCGCCCTTCAAACCGAAACACATTACTGCTTCACGACAGAAATAGGCGGAGTGGTGGTACCTACCCGTGCGGACTAACAAGAGGTCCTACCACCAGTAGAACCGGGTCCCCACTCAAGAACATATTTACTCCAACGGTTATCAGTTCTCTGGCTAATATGGTCAGCCCATTGCCACTTCAGCTTACTATCCGCTGTGCTATGTCGATAACTTTGAGTCTCTGTGGGATCACCTCGTTCCGGATTCGATGTCATGATCAATTCGCATTAATGCATATGAGGTTGAAAGTATTGCATTGAGATTCTGTCTTACACCGTACCGCGAGCTTGTTCTGAAACTCAATTTGCGTTATATTCTAAATCTATAATTGTAAACACGGAATTAGGGCTTTTGACCTTGCCCTAATTAGTGGTGCCTTGACGGCAAGCATACAGTCAGTACAGCTTAAGTAAGTTTCTGAAAAACAGATCCCCTGTAATCAAGGCAAGAAAGAAAGAATACCGCAGAAAGTTTCTCTTACTACTATCACGACCAGTTAATGCTTTCAGCGTTCGAAAGAGAGTCAGTCATTATTATTGAGACCTTTTGGTGCATCGATAAATGAACTAGTTCATCCTGTGTTAAGTAGTTGAAGGCCATATCACAACGCGAGTATCGCCGCTGAGCTTAGAGATCAAGTCATAGTGTCAATTGTGTTCTAGGCTGTCTCATCCTTCGAACCGATATGCGTGACTGTTTTGTGGCAGAAATAGACATGACAGAAGTACCTGCCCAATACAGGGTTTTTTTTTATCCTACCTAAGCTGAAATAGCCTTGAGAGGCTATTTCAGCGTAACCTTAACTAGTAGGTGCGCTCACGGGTCTCAAACCGGAGTGATGCTAGCACTGGCCCTAGCAAGAGCAGTGCTTGCAAAATTTACCACCGGATCGGAAACGCGACTGAGAAGATCCGTCGAGAAACTCAGTGGGCTGTGTCTGTGGGGGGTATATACAAGCAAATAATCATATATAAAAATAGTGACATCCAGTTGCGTCTTTGCAGCTAATGAGCTGTTGTGGTCATTTTACACTAATTACCAATTAAGTTACAATTTACAGGGGCACATGTATCGAAACTATTTGATTCAAAAACCGACACAAAAGGTTACCACGGAAACTGTTCTGTATTCGGACCGTATCGGATATTGTTAACGTAAATAGCAGTTTTATTTACAGTTAAATACGTTGTAGATCCTGAGTAAGTCGCGGATTCCATGTTTGATTTCCGATCTGAAGCGGTTTCTTTGTCAAAGATGTTAAACTTATTCAAAGTAGGTGCGGATGTACTGGTCTGCGTGTCTTTCTTTCTATGCATTTGGAATGTACAATTAAAAGCACTGGATGCAATATTTACCCGCAATCGTTGCCATATCTCTTCGGTAGGAGTTCGTTTGGTAATATAAACACAGTCCTATTCTGTATCATATTAGAGATCACTCTACAAATTAATATCAAACAACACTATATGCGTATTAAATAAACAAATATAAGAGTAAAATGTGTTTTGAACGTTTGAAGTGTATTAAAATCGCAAAACTATATGTTTGTTCATGTTTGAGTAAATACTGAGATGTCTACACGAGAACAGAGTAGATTAGTTTCGGAAAATATGAAATAAACAAAGATACCGCTGTATCAAACCGTGAAATGATTTAATGTTTAAATTAGTGTGTTTTAATGTTTAAAACACTTTTGATACATAAAATTGTGGTCTTTTTCGCGCCATTTACGTAGGGCGGGCGTGGCTTTCGCCGCGCTGGTTCGTACTGATTTGTAGAACCGATTTCTCAAAGGTTTCTTTGTGTGCCCAAAGGAATTACGTTCGTGGCGTGTTTAATGACTTATAATACACACACAAAATATATTTACTAGTTATTTTAGCGGTTAAATATTTAATTAAAGTCATTCTATGTTATTTATGACTTGGACAGCCATTTGTAATTAGTTGGTCGGTGTTGCCACATTCGAATTAATTTGGATAAAAACGAATTGTCAGTTAAATTCTTTTTGGTTGTCGAATAAAAGTGTAATTTCTAAAATTTGCTATAAATATTCAAGATCTTTGTGTGAGTTAATTGACGTGATAATTAATGATACTTGTTGAATCGAAACTAATCTTTAATTTGTAGAGATTATTATGAAATGTCGATGGCGAAAATGTTTATCTTTTTTTCTCAAGGCAACGGACAGACGTGATTTACATTAATAATAGGAGATGGGTCTAGGAAAAAATTGAATGACAAATTTTGTTCCGAACAAAAAAAAATTAGTTAAACGCGAATAAAAACACATAGTACATTTTCTATAATTTACTAATAAAATGTAACAGTCGAGAATGCTTCTCATCAAACGGATTGTTATTTGAAAAATGGCGACTTTCGTGTGGTGGCAAAGGGAAAACGGATCCAAAGTACTAGAATTGTTCTTAAGTGGTTTAAAACTGTCAGACGTAAGATATCACAACCAAGGCGTCACCGGATTATCTGTAACATCATCGAAAGCTTTCAGCTCATCTGATTGTAAGAGTTCACTATTGCTCCAAATCTTGTTTGAAGAAAGACATGTCATGGTGTACTAAAATAATCGTGCATTCTTTGCGGTAATTTATTTTCTTTAAATTCATTATTTATCGCTATGTTTGTTTATTATCGTATTGGACTAGAAAATAACGAAACTATGTATTTCTAACATACTCTTTATCTTTTCTCTTTCACTCACGTTCGAAGTGTCTGCTAAATAAACAAGAACGAAAGAGACAAAGCATGGAGTATGCCAGTAATCGTCCTGATTCTATCAATACAGCAAACCTAGTGACGAAGATCTCGTAAATTTACTAAAATTCAATCGATCTTTTTACATTTTCTCTTCTCATTAACGAATGAGAACAGCTTTTGACAGAGTTAAATAGAAGTTTTACAACTTGAGGTCAACGTAATACGTATGTAGGACGAGGTAGATCAATGTAAGACGTGTAGCGCGGCACAGGAATTGTGTAACTTTGTTAAAGTGCCTTCAATGGTCTTTAATGTTTTAGTAGGGCGATCTTACGGTCTATCTGGGATTATGCGGCTATTAGAGCCCGTTGATATCACGCATGTCGCATCTTTAGAATTACGGAGACCCATTTGGAAATTCTTGGATATCGACTTCAATTTAAAAATGGACCTTGAACCTAGAACGACCCTTTTCAGGGACTCTTCAATAATCGAATGACCAAAAGCAGCCTATAAAGGTATAAACTTATCTATCGGTCTCTTTCACTTATTCCCCTTCCTCAACTTTATCCGATGTTTTCCTAAAAACATATTTTTTCGGGTTGTGTCTGTATCGTTATGAAGGTGCTATGAGTTCACTCACTAAGAGCTATCAATTGTATTGTGTAAAATTTGCCTTATCCTTAAAGTTGACACGCATTACCGCTTCTTGACAGATATAGACAGGATGGTAGTACCAATTCATGCGCCGTATTCCTCAGTTCTGAGGGTCGTGACCTTTACGGAGCGCTTTGGTTCGCACTATGTTCCTCCATTAATTTTTCTCCTCTGCGCAGTGGATAGCGACATTGATGTTGAAGCCGAATGTAGTTTTAATTTGATCGGACCAACAACAAATTTAGTAAAAAAAAAAATGGTTTTTAACATTATTTGTGTTATCCATTTCACTGCACACACAAAAATAATCCCTCACACCCATGCATTCATCCGCTCAATGTGGATATCCAATGAGCAGTCACTATAACTCACAACAAAAAAAAACAAAAAAAATATTTAAATTTCTAACTTCGAATGAGCACCTCGAGTTTCGTGCCGTGTCACACGCTGACGTCAGCAGGGATGCCAAAATTTAATCTATAGTAATTTTTTTCGCAACGGAAATTAAACGAATGTGGGTTAAAGTAATTCCGCGTAACCTTAATAGTGGGGGAGAGGTGCCAACCCTCCCATTGTGTGTGTGCGTGTGACGAGTGTGAGTTGTCAAGAAAATTCACGATTTTGACATTCTATTTACGGGAACAATGTATCTGACGTAGATTATGTACATATGTGGGCGAATTGTTGTTAAAAGTAATTGTATTTTTTATTAGCTTCAGACGTATGTATGTTTGTAACGGAATCATTGAACATGATTTTGACCCCCTTCAAAACGTCGGATTAACTCGAAATTTGGTATACTTATTAAGGACCGATGACAATTCAATATTTAAAAAAAAATTTACAAAATTGAAATTCAACTAAAAAATTAAAAATAAATAATAGTTTTTTTTAGTTGGATTTTCTATAAAAGCGTATTTTGTTAGTTTTCTTTAAACTATTTTTTTTTTGACGCAGCTAAAGTAAATTGTTTGCATGAGTGCACCAGACTCACCACAAGTCCGGAGGAGTGGCGATTTCTCGTGGCGTATAACATCTGCTCACAGCAATGATACTGAATTACGACAACGACCGCTCTAACAAGTGTGGTACGACGAAGGAAAAAAGTATTAAAATGTATTATAATTAATTAGGTTGGCTCGTTTGTAATTTAATATTTGCATGTTAAAACGATTAATTTAGGAATTAAGATTATGGTTTTTTTTTTCTGTTAACGAAAACTGACTGCCATCCTGATGGAAATTGGTTAGCGGATGGACCTTGGTAATGTCAGTGACACAACGAACTGCTGCGATAGAACGAACAAAAATATTCTAAAAGAGCAAAAAGAAAGATTTCGACGCCTTAACGCGTTTCTTATTTTAACCTTATTATTTAATTTAGAAATAAATAGACTGTAGTTAGTTTAATATATATTGATTAATATCTTAGTTGTCCGTGTCTACGGAATCTTTATTAGAAACGTCAAAAATACTAAACAATCATCTGGCCTCAAACTAAGATTCCCTGTACTATTAGAGAAGGAATTATTGCGACGATTAGCATACAAACAGCAGCTGCAAACGAATCTTTAGAGTAAGTAGTAGTAAGTAGTATTAACTTTTGGTTTTCTGATGTATAGCGCAAAATGTCTCTTTCGATCAGTCCAACAACCAGTACAACTTGTAACAGTGTGCTTAGTGGAACGTTTGCCTACGTTTGCCGCTAGGGGCGCTGTTCTAACTCCATACAAATTTGAGTTAACTTTTACGCTATCGAGAACGTTAAAAAACTCGCACTAAGCACACTGGACTATGAGGTTTTGTTTTCGAGTTTAATCCAGTTATTAGGTTCTGAATACTTATTACGATGGATTTTTAGGCGTTTTTAATTAGGCGGTTTTAATAAAACTCAGCTGAAAACTGTGTACAAATTTTCTGTATAGGAAGCGTCCCTAGCGTCTGTGACTTAGTATGCTAATCAGCCAAGCGTCACGCGAGGGTCGCCGTTCGATACCCGTGCTGACCCCCACTTTATAACTTAACACCACTTAAAAAGCTTAATTGTTTTGCATGTAACGTGATTAATATTGATTTTTGGTGAAGTCAACACTTTCTTGAGTTCCGACAAAACTGAGCACAGTGCATTCATTTATATTTGTATAATGTTATGTTCGCTTAAGTATTTATCTAAGTATATACATATTACTGGTGGTAGGACCTTTTGTGAGTCCGCGCGGGCAGGTACCACCACCCCGCCTATTTCTGCCATGAAGCGTTTCGGTTTGAAGGGTAGGCCAGCCGTTGTAACTATACTATACCTGAGACTTTGGAACTTATCTCAAGGTGGGTGGCGCATTTACGTCGTAGATGTCTATGGGCTCGAGTAAGCACTTAACACCAGGTGGGCTGTGAGCTCGTCCACTCATCTAAGCAATAAAAAAAAAACCACAAAAAAGTTATTAGGCGAGGCGGCTTAACAAACACACATCTTTCTATCTTTAAAAGTCGTTGTATGTATGTATGTCCCCTATAGACTCAGAAACGGTTGGATCGATTTCGGTTAAGCTTCCAGCAAATCATCAGATTGCATTATCCTTTAGATTCTAGAAGTTGGGTGGTACTGGTGGTATGACCTCTTGAGAGTCCGCGCGGGTAGGTACCACCACTCCGCCTATTTCTGCCGTGAAGCAGTAATGCGTTTCGGTTTGAAGGGTGGGGCAGCCGTTGTATACTTGAGACCTTAGAACTTATATCTCAAGGTGGGTGGCGCATTTACGTCGTAGATGTCTATGGGCTCCAGTAACCACTTCACACCAGGTGGGCTGTGAGCTCGTCCACCCATCTAAGCAATAAAAAAAAAAATTGATGTTTTTGGTACCGATCAGATCAAAGATTGGCCGGCTAAGAGGACTGGGTATCGCAAGCTTAAATAGATCATCTTTTATTTATAGCATTAAATTGTGATATAGACATGCGAATTTCTCGCAACCATTAGTAATAAGCTTGTGTAATGTAGGTTAAATGCATGAGTATTTCAATTCCCCAAAGGCCAGTTGATTAAGTGAAAACTTAATGTATACAAATTCTCCAAGGAACTAATTGGACAATAGACTTTCACAAATTTACAATGCGGCCTATGAATATAAATAGAAGGATTAATTATATAGTCAATTATGTGCGTTATATAATTGGTCGTAAAAAGTTTAGCTTTGGTTAGGTGGGATAGCTATTGATGGATGGTTGGACAGGACTGACTTGTAGGTCATTTGGTATTAATGTACAAATGAAAATTCTCTGGGCTACCGCGTCCTGTGCTTTTCTCCCAAAATACGGCTATATAAAATCACGAGTGATTTCCGCCATAAATAATTGAAGTAGTATATTGGACTATAAATATAATTGCGTAAAAACTGGGCCATTGTAACCGACACAGTTTGAGCTGATGTTTTTACCATTTAAGTCGCTAAATTTAGAACCTGGTATTCAGGGTTAACTTATTCGAACCTCATTTGTTATTTAAGGTACTGTTTTAGGATACTACTGATGATAAGAGTTTTTGGAAAACTTTGACTAGTTTAGTAAATAATGTACTACGTATTATGTGAATTAATGTCAATATTAACAAAACTGCGCCAAAATACTGGCTGAATTTAAAATTAAACAGGTCTTTTCGTCAGTTTGAATTTAGGTTAATTAATAGAAAAACAATAGGGCTAATTTCACCCTTCAATGGCTGCAGGAAATCTTCAGTCTAATGCAACTTTTATAATATGTAAATTACACTCACCCTCCATTGCTTTGTGTTGATTTGTCCGACTCGTCCGTCGTATTGTTCTCGATGATAATCTTGCCTACATCCGGCGCCGGTACATTTGAACTTTGCACTTCTATATCTGCCCCACCTTTCACTATAGCCACATTAACTTTCTCTGCGCTTTCTTTCTCTATATTTTTCTTTTCAGTCACCACCATAACTACAGGCTCTACTTCTTTTTTCGGTTCAGGTTTTGGTTTTTCGGGAACTTCTTTCGGCTCTTCAACTGGTGTTATGATGCTGTCGACTATTTTTGTGGCTTCGGACCTGATTTCAGTCACCATTTTGTCGTTTTGCTTAACGACTTGATCTTTTATGTTCGTCAGTTTATTTGTAACCTCATCTTTAGCTTCTTTAACGTCCGCCGCAGTTTTCGTGGCGAAAGTTTTAAACGTACTTTTAGCTTCGCGAGACTTGGCTGAAGCGGTTAAAATGTTTTCTGTAGAAATTTCTGGCTCTTTTAAAATGTCATCAATTTTCTGCTTTACCCTCTCGACTTGCGGATTATTGTATGGAGGCTGTAATGGTTTCAATTTAACATTGTCTTCCACAAATATAGTCCTGTCGTGACTCCTAGCAGGTTTTGGGGGTCTATTATCTTCGATTTTGTCTTTTTCTTTCGTATCCTTGATTTTCTCTTTGTCTTTTTCATCTTCCTTACCTAGTAAAGATTCTTTAGAGCTCAGTCTCTCAAGCATAGCCTTTTCTCTAGCTTTTTCCAGTACAACAGGTAACTGATTTGTAACTTTCGTAACTACCTCTAGTGGTTGTGATGTAATCGCGGCAGTTGTCATTGACACTATATTTTTCTTAGTCATAACAACTAGCTCACCTTTGTCGTTAGTGATTCGGTCGTATTGAGTTTCGTTATCTTGCTTTTTAATCTCTTCAGTTTCAGTTTCGGTCGAAGCTGTTTGGTTTTTAGCTTCTGTAACGGTTTCTGGTAGTTTTGAATCGTCCTTCTCGGAGCTCGAACTTTTTTGTGGCTTACTCTTTTCTTTTAATGAATCCTTTTTTATTCCAACTTCGTTTACTTTGCCATTCGGTTGCGATTTTTCTGTTAAATCCTTTTTACTATTAGTCTTTTTCAGTGGCGGTTTTTCGTTTAATGTTTTACTGCTGGGAGTTCTAGTGAGGCTTTTAATACTACTAGTTCTGCTTATAGGCTTTTTTGGTTCAGGCTTGGAAACGGTAGTTTTTGAAACAGTTTTGTTGCTTGATGTTCGATTTACAGTTTTTGCAGGAGGAGGTTTAACTGTGGTTTTCGTACGTTTTTCAGGACTTGGATCCCTACTGACTGATCTGCTAGGCTGTCTAGAATTCAATCTAGACGAAACAGGTGTATTATCAGCTGTTTTGATCGCTTTCCTTGGTACTGTGGATGGTTTTGTTGGAGTCCTGGCCGAACTTGGCTTCGGGTCTTCTGTTGGGCTTTTGTTTGGTGTGCCAACAATAGGAGAAAGCCGTTTGGCGTTAATAGTCTTATTTGAAGGAGGAGGTCCGCCTCTGCCTGGTGAAATCGGAGGTTTTCCTCTAATGTGAGCAGGAGATATGTCTAAATTCTGAGTACTCTTACTCATGCCTCTTTTGTCGTGAACCTGACTGCCTACTCTTATTGTCTCGTGGATGCTGCTTGTGCTGTTGGAAATGAATCGTTGATTTTGATTTAGGCCATTCCCAATAAATCTTCTGCCGTTAGACATATCGCGTTTGGTTGTTCTAGTAGGAGACACAGAACTCTGTCTTTTAGGTATTTTGGAATTCTTAGGAGAACCGTCATTTGATTGCGGTTGTGATTTCGAAACTGTCCGAACCCTAGATCTGTGAGTATTAGGTTTAGGTACTACATTTTCAACGCTCACAATAGTTTTATTACTCGAAGGAACATTTTGGATATGTAATATCGCCGCCGGAGAATTCGATCTAGATCTAAGCTTTAATCTACTTGGTGAATTAGTTCTGGAAGTAGATCTGGACCGAACTTTCTTGTCTAAAATGCCCATTTCCTTAAGTAGAGCCTCTTCTTCTAATTGTCTCATTTTTTCTGCTTCCGCTTCATGTTTCTCTCTATTCAACTCGCTCAGTTCTCTTACTTCTTCTATGTTTTCTTTCAGAAAATTTCTAGGGGAGTGAGTTATATGGGTTGGTGGGGGAAGAGTGACAGTTGCCATCTTGTCTATTCTTGGCAAGGAGTTCGTTCTTCTTCTGGGTGGAGAACTAGCTCTGGAGTTGGTTGCGGAGGTTTTCGGAGTGCTGTGTCTTGAAGTTTCTTCTCTAAAGCCTCGACCTACAAAACGGAAACAAATATTTAAATTGCAAATTTATAATTGAGCTTAATTGTCTTTTGTAATCAATTAATATTCATTTGTTATTCTCATAACTGGTTTGGAGCCTAATGTGTTGATGTTTCTGAAGACAAGAGTATTTAACTTTTATAGGTAACATTTATATATCTTGAATACAAACAAGAATCCAAACTGCGCTGTGGCAACAGTGAGAACTTTCGATACAGAAAAACAGATTAACGTTTTTTCTGTCACAAAGCACTCATGGGTCCGGTTTGAAGAATGGACCTTTATTATCCACCATTGAGACCTCGATCTCATGGATTCTGGTGATCACTAAACACCAAGTATATCATTCCAGCAAGATGGTTTTTTTTATTTATTGCTTAGATGGGTGGACGAGCTCTCAGCCCACCTGGTGTTAAGTGGTTACTGGAGCCCATAGACATCTACAACGTAAATGCTCCACCCACCTTGAGATATAAGTTCTAAGGTCTCAAGTATAGTTACAACGGTTCCCTTACCCTTCAAATCGAAACGCACTACTGCTTCACGGCACGGCAGGGTGGTGGTACCTACCCGTGCGAACTCACAAGAGGTCCTACCACCAGTAATTACGCAAATTATGAATTAGACGCAATTATAAATTAACGCAAAAACAAAATTAGACGACTGTCTCCTTCTAAATATCCTACCTACCTTGAGATATAAGTTCTAAGGTCTCAAGTATAGTTATAATAATAACCTTACCACGAAACGGTGACACTCTTCCCGGCTTAATCTCCACGGGAAGAGAGCGAGGACTGCTTGGACGGGAGGCGGCGGGAGGGTCAGCTAATATCGCGAATGACTTCTCCGTCTTTCTCTTCGCTGTTGACACGACTCTGTGGAAGAAGGATAATTATGTCTTATTAGAAAACTGGTGCATTATTTTGAAATTAGTAAAATACATTCCGTTCCAAAGATATATTGTATTTAAACAACAATAAAAAACAAGTTAAGGTTGATAATGATCTACTTATAATTGTTAATTATTGAATTGAAATTGATTGAAAGTAATTGACCGGTATTTAAGGTAAAATGAAATAAATGACAAATCAAGACGAATATATTTTGATGCCAGACATTGTTCAATTTGTCAAAAAATAATTACTACTTCTGCGGTACGGACAGCATAACGGTAGTATTTGAATTAAACTACTTTTCATATTTTACTTTCAATGTCGCAATGTAATTACAATTAAAACTATATATGTATGCTATATGTATGTTGTATCAGTGTATCGATATATTTATATCCTCGATATGAGCGAACACAGAGCTTGTAGCCTTTTCTTCTGGTGGCGATTACATTGCAATAACGCAATGTAACGTAACGGTAAAACTCCGTTAATCACTTAGCACTAGATGGGCCGTAGGCTAGTCTACCAACGTAAGTTAAAAAAAAATCCTTGTCCAACTTAACAGAGCCGTCAATGCTCATGCGTGGTCAGGAGTGTTCACGGTGAGCTCGTCTGATGACGTAAATAATGCGTCATTGATCGAGTACTGGTAGTAGGATCTCTTGTGAGTCCGCACGGGTAGGTAGTAGGTACCACCACCCTGCCTATTTCTGCTGTGAAGCAGTAATGCGTTTCGGTTTGAAAGGTGGGGAAGCCGTTCTAACTATAGTGAGTCCTTAGAACTTATATCTCAAGGTGTGTGGCGCATTTACATTGCAGATGTCTATGGGCTCCAGTAACCACTTAACACCAGGTGGGCTGTGAGCTTGACCATCCATCTAAGCTATAAAAAACAAAAATATTCAATATCTTGAAGCTCGCAGCTATTTGACCGAAAACCGTGTATACTTTCATTTTGAAATAGCTTAGTTACTCAAGTATCATCATAATAATATATTAGTTGCTCTAGGTATACCGCATTACAAGTGAATTCAATTTTAATTTCTCCGTTGAAAACTTTAGATGAGAAGTTTTAGGAGAGTTTTCAGCTGAGTGCCTATTTACCATTTAGGTTAGCCGTATGGTCCTTTCCCGACAAAGGCGATTAAGGAAAATTGTATTCATAGTCTGAGTGTATGAGCATATCTTGTATGTTACCTACGCGCATAAGGCGCGAGAAAACATAGCTAGAGCTCGCTAAACAACGATTTAAAATATGTAGCTAAAACAAAAAGGGTTCTACAGGCCACTTAAAAAACAAACTAAATCGCATTCAGAGCATAAAAGCAGCAATACACAAATATTTTATTATGAAATTAATGAGCTCGGGTGTTGCCAACGACGTGTTTGGTAAATCGGTTTTTATTGCCAGTAATTTGGCGCTATTTTCTGAAATGGTAGTTTTGTAACCTTGTAGCACAATTATCGGTAAGATCCAAGATAATTTGCTGATTTAAACTTTCGCTTATAAGGCAGAAGGAAGGTCTTAAATGGTGGTATAGCACTGCACTACCTTTCGTTGACTGGTAGAGAATGCCTTAGGCATTAAGTCCGCCAATGTAAATTTTACATGAAGTGTAATAAATAAATATAGCGCATTGTGGTCCGTCCGAGTTGGTACCACCTCTCTTACTATCAGGCCAGGTTCCGTGGGACAGTCGATATTCAATAGAATTGGGTCTTAATAATATACATTTATTTCATCTCTCTCTCTCTCTCTCTCTCTCTCTCTCTCTTTGTAGCTATGTATCCTACATGGTGCTGGGATCAGCTTTCCTTATTCTACTCCTCCACTTCGCTCTGTCTCCATTAATTATCATTATATGTCTACATTTATTACAAATCTAAATTACCAAAAACAATGTAATAAAAAAGATAGAAAATATCGAGGCTTGGAAAGGATTACCGACACAGCTATGATTAACAGTGGGGATTCAATCAGTGATTGGTATGCACCAGCATCAGACCTGCGCCACTTTGAGAAGGCGGCACGACATGAGAACCCTCTTGTCGTGGCCGCTGGAAACTACATACCCGATCCTGTAGACCGAATGGTAAACAGTCGACGTCGCCCAAAACACGTCATTACGGATCCTCCCGATCCATTAACGGTGCTTTTAGGTACCACAAGCACCGGTCACCGGCGAATTAACTCATATACACAACCCACTGAGTTTCTCGCCGGATCTTCTCAGTGGGTCGCGTTTCCGATCCGGAGGTAGATTCTGCGAAGCACGGCTCTTGCTAGGGTTCATGTTAGCAACGTCGTCAGGTTTGAGCCCCGTGAGCTCACCTAAAAACGTTAGGGTGAATCTGAAATAGCCTCCCAAGGCTATCAGCATAGGTAGGAAAAAAAACAGACCGGTCAGCTAATCATTTCAATATATCAATAGTTTATGTTTTTACAAAAGTTTCTATTACATCCAAGATCCTTATTAAGTCTTTGAGGACATTGTTGAAGATGAAGGATGACATTGTGGCCTCTAAAGAATCCGCAAATAATTCATAAACAAGTGAATTAAATAAAATCGCGCCAAAAAAAAAAAAACATAACACACTAAATTTCATAAATTCCTTTGTTAATGATTTATTTATTTAACGAGGTGTTCGAGTACTAATTAATGTCTTACAATACTTATTGTAATAAAATGTTAATGTTTGTTGCATCAATATTTATGAATAAATATTTAAGAAACGTTGAATACGTGTTAATGTATGAGTTTTTGTTGTATGAACCTACTCTAAGTCAGTAAGTACACGCTGGTACTGGCCCAGCGGGGTATTCCGTAGGGTAACCCACTCTAACCGGCGCCATCTAGGCGGGCTTCGGACAGTCTGCCGACCGAGAGGGCTGGTGGTCGTGGCGCCGACGACCGCCAGTCCGCCGTCCCGAGGGGGAGGGTGATGGGAGAGATGTGCTCCGCACTAAGCGCTTCACTTTTCCCCCTTTGCCTTGTCATGAGTTCTGTCTCATGCGAGGTTTGGACGTTGGTTGTTGAGCGATAGGAAGTTTTAGTCAGTTCGACTCTGACATACCTCGCCCAGTATCCCCAGAAAAGGGCGGAAGTCCGGCGATTTCCTCCTGACCAAAAAAAAAGGTCAGCAAGTAATCCTATACTCGATATTCCCGAGTCGGAAACAGAATTAAAATTTTTACACTATTGCCGACGTTTCGAATATTTGACAGTTTCTGTGGCAACGGGTGACTAAGGTTTACTGGTGGTAGGACCTCTTGTGAGTCCGCGCGGGTAGATACCACCGCCCTGCTTATTTCTGCCGTGAAGCAGTATAGCGTTTCAGTTTGAAGGGTGGGGCAGCCGTTGTAACTATACTTGAGACTTTAGAACATATCTCAAGGTGGGTGGCGCATTTACGTTGTAGATGTCTAAGGATTTCAGTAACCACTTAAAACCAGGTGGGCTGTGAGCTCGTCCACCCATCAAGGAAATAAAAAAATTCCAATAAATCTTCTACTACTTGATACCTCTTTCTTTTGAGAAAGAGAGGAAGAGGTATCACACCGAGGGGGGATGACACTTTTTCCTTATGTGACCATTTATACCAGTCAACTCCAACCGCAAGCCGCCTTAAAGAATTTCGTTCCCAAAACGACATTTGTGTCTGTGTGTGTGTGTTTTTTTGTAATGCCGCGCTAATTTTTATATTATCTTCATCTCATAGTGCCGTCATATACGTCACACGTTATTACGGATCCTTCCGATCTATTAACGGTGCTTTTAGGTACCACAAGCACTGGTCACCGTCCTCGTCGAACCCGTCACTTGCGACCAAGGGCTCGATGAGCGAATTAACCCTCAGACATAGCCCTCTGGGTTTCTCGCCGGATCTTCTCAGTGGCTCGTGTTTCCGATCCGCGGGTAGATTCTGCGAAGCACTGCTCTTGCTAGGGTCAGTGTTAGCAGAACTCTGGCTTGAGCCCCGTGAGCTTACCTACACGTTAGGGTGAAGCTGAAATAGCCTCTCAAGGCTATCAGCATAGGTAGGGAATAACGTGCCGTCAGCTTAATGCAGTTGACTTGGCCATGTCAAGAGGAAGCCTGTTAGACGTTGTACATCCTGGCGCCGCTGAATTCAATTAGAGATAGCCTGATTGCTTATCGTTATTACCACAAATTCAAAGCTTTCTACTCAGTAAAGTATTCATGGGTAGGATTGGTGTAATGCAAATAATAGTAGTGCAGCTTAAAAATCATATTCATGTATGACGCCAATACTAATTGTGCCGACCCTAGAGATAATGAATAAGAATAAAAATAAAGAATTAATGAACAGCCTTATTCATAGAAACGCTGATACATTACGTGTGTACCAGAACAATAGCTTACAGCGGGCGGGAACTGTACGCAATACGCAACGAATACTTTCGCCCGATACGCGCTACTGGTCGTGTGTGGTGGCGGACATAAGCGGAAGCGGGGAGAATGGGCGATTGATTTTTAGTCGCTTACTCTTTGCTTAGTGTAAAAATTGTGATGAGGTGGATTTAAATTTAGTTTTTGTTTCCCCTTTAAATATATCATTCTTATATCATTTTAAAAATAAAATTTCGTATTTCTATATCTATTTTGCGTGAATGTTTATCTTGAAATACAAATCATAGAATTAAAAAGGGCTGAAATAAAATATCAAAAGTAGAAATACAAAAAGTCCCTTCTTATGGCGCGTGTGAATGGATAAATGTAAATATAAGCCAAGGAGAGTTGACGTCAGGCTGGGCGTAAAACTCATGCCTAATGCCAATTCAGCATGATGGGAAGCCATCTCCCAGATCTCATTATGTGGGGAAGTAATGGTGAGAAGAAAAAGTCCCCTACGTGGGGCAGAGAGCGTCCACAAACTCCAGCTTCATCAGTTATGTTGATCTATTTTATCTTTTCAATGAAACCTTAAAAATATTAACCGTTCTGAAATAACATTGGAAC